AGCTGTGAGCACTCAGCACTTCAGACCCCAGGGTCTCAAGTCAGGTACCCAGAAAATGAGGAACACACAGTTAGTGACCACCTGTGAAAAGTTTGGTTTATGTGACTTGTCCAGAATCACATAGGAGCTCTGTGGTAAAGACAGGGACAGAATCCAGTTCTCCAGGGCAGTATTCAACTACCTTCATCATCCAACCATCCCTTCTCTTTCTGCAGCCTCCTGCCTCATTCACTAGAAGTTATCCAACGTCTGCAACAAACGACAACAGCCTCCTTCACCATATATCCTTGATTCATCCCCAGAACAGGTCCATTCTGTGCACTGAATGAGGCCAGGGGCCTGTGGAAAAACTAGTATGTGATCATGTAATTAAAGATGGTGTCATGATGCACATGCACAAGGGGGTAGAATTAAGGTTGCCCGAATTCTGACATTTCCTAACTTTTGAGTGCTTGACTTTGCAACCACAATAATGATCTCCGTGTAAATGTCCTAGGTTTTTAAAACAGAAAACTGAAAAGGTATAACCACCTGGCTCATCAGCAGGGCTGGAACCTTTAGATCCACTGCACAGACCTCTGCCACTTGAACTAAGAGTAACTGATAGTAATAGTAGGTTGTCATCCTCTGTGTGGACCAGCCACTAGAGAGAGGTGAGCCATAAACTTTGCCAGTGGGTTTCACAGATATTTGCTGACTGCAGAGAAATAGTGAGACGCAGGAATTTTGGGTTTCATTCCAGATTCTAGAGCCAAGTGTGCTTTAATGGGCTCAGACTTCTGCCTCTTTCCCTCAAACTTGACCCCTTCTGCCCCAGCCTGTCCCTGTACCACTCCTGTCTCTTCCTCATTCCTGGGCCATCATCTCAGCTACCATCATTCTCCTTGACTACCAAGTCCCAGGAGTCTGATCCCCATCTCAGTCTCTTTGCCCAGCTATTCCTAGTCTCAGTCTCCCCCAACTATTACTAGTCCCAGTCTTCCTCCTTTGCAGTCCCTGTCACCTTGCCCAGCAATTCCCTGTATCCCCTCCACCCCCACCCTCCCAAGCTCCTTTGTGTGACACTGAGGTCAATTGGTACTAGCTGGGAAAGGAGCCACTGCTCTGTGTCAAGGCTCCTAACAGCCCTGCCAAACTCACTACACCTAGCACACTGCTTTCCTAGTATTTATCCAGAGAGAATATAATGTAAGATAGCTAACAAAAGGTTATGTCATCCTGATCTTCATAATCATTGCAATATTTATGAAGTCATGTATGAAATTTGTGTCCACAACAAAGCTGACAAACAGGTTTTGGGTCAGACAAAGGATGCTGAGTGACCTAATTTGGTATTTTCCAAACAGTGGGTTGTCGGAAGTTTCTAGATTAGTTGTCACATCCAGGGTTGAATTAACCCATTCCTGGGCCCTGGCCTAGGCAAACACATACTTCTCCCAGCCTGGTGCGGAGGGGTAACCGGGCCAAACCTGAGTGGTGCTGAGACCCCATGAACCAGGCCACAATACCTGGAGTGGGGCATCTGGCTGAGCACTGTGGGACAGGAGCTGCCATGGCCGGATGAGTGCAGAGGGGGCGAGGTCAGGACTAGTGTTGTGATGCCAGGGCAAAGGATGCATTTATAGAATGCTGGGTCACAGAAAGAGACAAAAGGCAGTGGGGGGGGGGTCGCTTTTGTAAAAAGATTGGGAACCACTTCGTAAGTGATATATCCCAATACAGCACTGGCTTGACTCTGCTAGAGCTTCACACTGTGAGATCATGTGCCATTCATTACCCCCAGCCCTCATCAGCCCCCTCCAGTGCTAAGTTTGCCAGGCATCCGGTTTTCAACCGGAACGCCCGGATGAAAAGCGACTCTGGCGGCCCCGGTCAGCACCGCTGACTGGTCCATTAAAATTCCAGTCAGTGGTACAGCAGGGCTAAGGCAGTCTCCCGGTCCTCCCTGGCTCCATGCAGCTCCCAGAAGCAGTCGGCATGTCCCTGCGGCCCCTAGGCACAGGGGCAATCAGGGAACCTCCACGTGCTGACCCCGCCCCGAGCACTGGCTCTGAAGCCCATTGGCCAGGCCAATGGGATCTGCGGGGGCAGCACCTGCAGAAGGGGGGCAGCATGCACAGTGCAGAGCTGCCTGGCCGTGCCTCCACCTACGGGCCAGACATGCCAGCTGCTTCCAGGAGACATGCGGAGCCAGGGCAGGCAGGAAGTCTGCCTTAGTCCCTCTGAGCCATGGACCAGGAGCTGCCTGAGGTAAGCGCCGCCCGGCTGGAGCCCTCACCCTGACCCCCCTGCCCCAGGTTGGAACTCCCTCCTGCACCCTAACTCCCTCCCAGACCCTACACTCCGCACCCCCTCCCACACTGCTGTCCCAGACCTGAGCCCCCTTCTGCAATCCAAAGCCCTTGGCTGCTGCCCAGAATCCCCTCCTGCACGCCAAACCCCTCATCCCTGGCTCCACACCAGAGTTCACACCTGCAGCCAGAGCCCTCACCCCACCACACCACAACCCTCTTCCCCAGCCCAGTGAAAGTGAGTGAGGGTGGGGGAGAGTGAGCAATGGAGGGAGTGGGGATGGAGTAAATTGGGGCGGGGCCTCAGAGAAGGGGTGGGGCAGGATAGGGCCTTGGGGAAGGGCAGGGGGCGGGGCAAGGATGTTCAGTTTTGTGCAATTAGCAAGTTGGCAACCCTATACAGTGGCCCAGCCCAGCCATGACGGTTATCAGGATTCTATAATCAGTTAGCGACATAGACACCATTGTGATGTTACACCCCATATTCTTCATAGAAATATGGTTATGATATGAATATGGCATAACTAAGACATGCTTTATGCAAGACGGGTCATGTGAGGTATCATTGGAAAGGTTATGATTTACTGAATGTATTTATCCAATTTGTATGCATGTATTATTTCTGTATCTGAAGTTAGGAATATTGTCTATTTAACAATTACAACTGTGTGTGTACTTGGGAAAGCAATGAGTCTTAAAGGGCCATTAGGAAAAAACAATGAACCTTCGAAGATGTGGATCTCCCATCTTCCCTGAAGTTCCTTCCTGTGGACATTTGCAAATAAACCTTGTTTCATGGTTGCTTTGACACTGCAAGGTCAGGTGATAAGGTCACCTGGTACAGAATACCACCTGGGACATTACTGGTACTTTTCCACTGGGAAACGAAGGCTTCCCGCCTTATGTAAATTCTATTTAAGGCTGGGAAGCAAGGCAATTGGGACTCTCCATTTGCCTGCCGACCCGAGAAGGAAGACGGCTGAAAGCTTCCGAAGAAACCAAGGAACTAAGCTATGGGAAGGCAAGGGATGAGTCCAGGCTGAGAACAGGGGTCTAGCCTGTAAAGAGATATAACTGGAACTCTGAGCTACAGAAACTCTACAACCTACCTAAACAACATTTAGGGTGCAAAATTACTATGTTTAACCTGTTTCTGTAGTGTATTATGCTTAGTTTGCGTGTTTTGTTTTATTTGCTCAATAAATTTGCTTTGTTCTGCTTGCTATCCCTTATAATCACTTAAAATATATCTTTTATAGTTTATAAACTTGTTTTTGTTTATTCCAAAACCCAGTTTGTGGAATTCATATCTTGGGGGAGAGAGGGCGCAAAAAGCTATGCATATCTCTCTCCACACTGAGGGAGAGGGTGAATTTTTATGAGATTGCGCTGTGCAGATATTTCTACACAGCGCGAGACAATATTATTTTGGATTTATACCCCAAAGGAGGAGCTGATTTCAGTCGGTCTCTGCAGCTGGATGTGTGTGTGCTCGTGTGTGTGTGCGTGCGTGCGCACGCTGGAGAAGGCTTGAGAGCCTAGCACAGCAAAAACAGGGTTAGGAAACCCAGGCTGGTGGAAAGGGTGGGCTCAGTGAGACCCCAGCACATCAGGTGGTGCCCCAGAAAGGGGGGTCCAACCCATCACAACTGTAACCACCCACAAGCAACACAGGCCTGTCTGTGTCCATGCAGCAGCACTCAAATTCCAAATAGCACAGAATTCCTTCTTCTTTCGTACTTCCCCACTTGAGCCCTGAGCCCACATGTGGGCCCTGTACTCTCACAGTGCCCCACTGCAATAGCGGGTGTTCACATGTGCACATCACCTTGTAGGATCGGGATTGGAAGGTGTTCCCCCTGCAACTATCTACACTACCTCTCATCTCATTGATTGTTGCTTGTTTGTCCTCTAACAGGGGTGTTTTACGATACGGTCTCTCCAGCTCTCACTGCATACGGGTTTCTGCTTCCTCCACAGCACTTACAAAGGCAGTTAAGAGCAGAGACTCCAGTGCAGACCCCATGCTGCTTACTCCATACTCCTCTCCACAGTACAGTTATAATTATTCGTTTATGTTCCATCAGCCACTTCCATTTTCCCTCCTCCAGACAAACTATCTTCTCCCGAGAAATTGTCTCAGACACTTTACCGGCTCACAACTCTAGCTATATTGGGCCAGACTGGCCCAACCTGGGGCAAGGAGATGTAAACTACACCTCCCTGTGTCAACTAATCCCCCTACACCCTGAGAGGATGACGCACCCACAGTGGTCAGGCAGTGCATGCCCCCATTCATCACTGACACCGTCCACCTCCCAACATCCAGCTGCCATGGGAGAATTGCACAGAACAATCTCGGTTAGAGGGAACGTGCTATTAAGCTACCTCCCCCATAGCTAGTGCAGTTTGCTCATTGTAATATAGTATTTACCAGCAGTCTGTCCTGCCTAGATTTAAATTAATCAAGGTATGGGGTTTCTGCCATTGCCCTTGGGACACCATCCTGCAGCCTCATTCATCTCACGCCAGGGCTTTCCCCTGCATGATCCCTTTCCAAATTTCACCCCGTTGCCCCCCAATCATCACCCCAAATAACCCCTCTCCCCCATTCAGGGTTCCCATGCTGCAGGCAGGTATCACGCCCCCAATGCACACACCCCTCAGCCAGCACGGACCCCCGCTCTATGAAGCATTGCCACCACGTACCTCCACCTGCTGGCAGATCTGTATCAGCTTGGCCATCTGGTTTTCGAGTTCGCTATTGCGTTTAACCAGGTTGGTGAGGTTCGTCTCCAGGGTTTGCTGCCAGCACAGAAACGGGAAGGAATGAAGGGAAAAAAAGAAAGAAAGAGAGCGTAAGCATCAGCAGAGCTGGAGAACCAGCTCCATGGATTATGAACATCTCAGAACATTATTGATGACAAAACACACACACATTAACGGCTTTGGGCACTGGCAGCTTCCACCCGGGCCATATGCAGCTACCACAGAATGCTGGAATGCTGCTTCATGTAGAAGAGGGAGGCACAATAATCTGCTTCTAAGCCAAAGTTAATGTTATTTCATTATCCCAGGTTGACAACTACAGTAACTTTCATGGGTGGCTAGAGGGCAGCACAGTACAAGTGGCCCACAGGGTTTGGCAATGCAGCCTGCACCCTTAAAGGTCATCAGCACAGAGGAGGGACTGTGTTTGTGCCTCCTCCGGAGGCACCTCCTGGAATTTGGGAGGTGGGTTTTTAACCCTGCCTTGATTTTTTTTTTCTTTTTGTCTTTTAATGTACAAAACTGAGTCTGACTCCCCTGACTTTCCTGGAAAACTCTATGCACATCAGAAGAACTTATTCCAACTCTTGCAATTTCCCCATGATATTAGGGGTATTTCTAAAGCCCCAGCTCCTGGAGTCATGAAATTATATAAGGTTTTTTTTAAACACATAAATTTCTAATCGTTGGTGTTGCAGAACAAAGCTGAAAAACATGACCCCTATAGGCTCAAAAACCAGAAGGCAAATAAAAAGAACACCATATTTTTAAAATGTCGTGGTTTTTTTGGGACCTGGCACGTGATTTAAAATAATTGGGGTTGGCAGCTCTGTTATGACATCAAAAGATGCTGAGCATGGGAAACTGAAGTGAGAGTCAAGACACTAAACACACTGCACTTATGTTAATAGCTACAGTATACAACTCCAATGTCCTGCTCACACCTGGAAGAAAAAGATGTTAAAGATACATCTCCCCATCTTTCCTCCCTTTCAACTGCAGGCAGAGGAATCTCACATTGTTACCAAAGAGTCCTTCAATAAAAACAGGGCAGACCAGACTTTATATTCCTCATATTTCCAAAGTAAAAAGCAAACAGTTTTTTGTTAAATAGCTTCAGGCTCCTTGGAACATTATAAAACCCATAAAAATCACACACTTATTTTCCCCACCTTTCACAGAGCAATACATATAGGTAGGCTTGGCAGAATTCAATTTCCTTTTTTTTTATAATTTTGACACAATGTGTATTGATAAGCATTTTTTTTCATTTTTATTTATTTAAATTTTCACAGTTGTAGAAAACTGTAACAGCAACAGAGTATGGGGAGGGGAGGCAATTATTATTTAATTACTTTAGACCGCCGAGATTCAAAAAGTTAAAGCTTTGCAACCATTAAAACACAAATTGTCTACATAATGTGTCAAATATATAAAGTAAATACTCTTAAATCAAACTCTAATAAGTTCTCAAGCAGCATTTTTCTTACTTTGCCGATCTGTAAATTTTTATTGTTATCAATGAAAATATTTTTCGTCAGTTGGGTGTGTATGGTATTGACATTTATTGACATTTGCCGATAAAAATCGAATCCTTCCAAGCCTACCTCTAGGCTACTCAGGTAAAGACAGAGTACTGCACGCTCAGATTTGTAGTTTTCATGGTTTGCAGTTTTCGGAGATGCGGAAGACTGCAATCTGTGCCGATTGAGACAAGTGCAGTGTATCTCTTGAGGCTGTTGACAAGTTGCCAATGAGTCCCTAGCTGGACATTGTTCAGACAACTCTTCTTTTAGCAGCACCAGATGCTATTCTGCATCCAGTTTTCAATTGGGAAACCTGTCCGATATGAATAAACTACTCTATTTTCCATCCATTCTCTCCCCTCCTCATCCTGTGTCTGTTATTGAGATAAAAGGCTCCTGGGAGAAAAGTTGTGGCCTCAGCGACATAACTACAAGCTGTCTTCATTTCTGTTCCCAATTCCCCAATCGGACTAGCATTTTGTTCTTGGTAAATTACAATTTAATAACAGAAAGCAGGATTTCAACTAAAGCAGATAGAGATTCCCGAGAGATTGTTTATTTTGATGGCTATGCCGACATTTTGACTGGTCACTTTGGATTCTCTCGACATCCCGTTATAAGCCCTTCAGACCCTTTAATCCTCTTGTATTTATAAAGAGCTAGAGGTTAACATTTTCAAAGTGCAATGTACGGTGAGGGGACTGTTTGATTCCTGTCCAGCACCTAGACAGCCTTGTACTGACGCTGCTGTGTCAAGGGATGGAATTGAGATGGGACACTGGAAACCCAAATGTTGTCTTTTCTTTGACTAATTGAAAGGGTGGGCCCAAAAGCAAGGGAAATCTTTTCTGAAATGGGACCAGTGAACAGGAGATGGAGAGAGATTTTTATTTTCTAAGTAAGCATGAGGAAGTTTAAAGCAGTGTAGCAAGCGCGTACGCAGTGTGCTGTAAGACGCTTCAAAACTTGGACAGAGAAAACTCGGGTTGGCAGATGGGTAAATACAACAAACTTTGATCTTAACACACTCTGAAGTGTTATGCTGCTATGCTGCTCCCCGATCCAATGGAGATGCAGCATTGTAGAAGGCTTACAGCCCCTAGCCAGAGTGTGCACCTTGGTCAATCTGTCTAGCCACAGTCTCGAATGTCAGAAATACAAACACAACCCTCGCACCACCACACCCACAAAACTGCACTCTCAGCTATAATTATTTATGGTTTGTAATGCAGTGGCACCTAAGAGCCCATTGTGCAAGGCACTGTACAAACATAGAACAAAAAGACAGTGGTGTAAATCCAGAGCAAATCCACTGGCTATAGATTTACCACGGCGCAAGAGCAAAAGCCAGCCCACATTCTCTCCCAGGGGACTTTCTGACTCCCTAGGGTACATGCCAACCCCTACATTAGATGAACTCTTTGTCAAATTTCTGAAGGAGGGTTGTTAATATTATAGAGAAAGAAAAAAGTCAATTGTGGCTAACCACAACTAGAAAGTTTTGTGTGGAAGCCTGGGCCATTTAGATGAACTGAGACAGTTTGCAATCATGCTTCCACTTGCTGCCTATTACGCTAAATGCTGGTTTGCTGCCACATCGGTCCTGGTGTGCTGGTTGATGTAATATTTATGGAGAGGAATGCAATCTAACAGACATGGGAGCAGCTAGAAAAGAGCCCATCTGAAACTATTTCAATATCTGTGGACACACAGTGGACTTGTGCTTTTGGATATCAATAATTTAAATGACATCACATTTCCATTAAAATATGTGATTCCACTAAGAGAAAATGTTTTATAACAAAGTGCTCACAACCTGTTGCAATACGTGTCATGAAAATGATACCCTATTAATATTTGAAACTTCAGAGCCGAAAAAGAATCCCTGTGGTGTTTTATTCATACTTGGCTTGGAACTGCAGCCCATAGCTCCCAGCAAGACTCTAACAGTCCCATAAACAAGGATTCCCTCTGCATGCACATATAATTCTGGGGCTGGTTAGCCAATGGAACTTGAATCACAGTCATAAAATACAGGCACATCATTAATTCCTGAAACCCAGTGGCTCCTAAAATATTCAGAGCTCATTTGCAATCCTGCGAATTGCTAGCCAATGGCTGATAAAGCATAATATAGAAATAGGATTGAAAAATGACAGGAAACTCAGGCAGCTTTCATTAAGCTGAAAATGCTATGCAAAACAAACCTAAGTTGATAATGAAAAAGCCAGCTGTTAACAGTTTTTGCCACTGTTTTCTTATAGCTCAATATTATTAAACATAATTTGAATAAAGAACTGAGCATTTAACTTGCTAATTATCTTTCTCATCGTTGACTTGGCTACACTGGAGTTTCTGCGCTGAAATGGGGGTTGATCTTCTTTAATGGTCTAATGCTGTTGAAGAGCAAGGAGGGTGGGCGAAATGAGTTTTCCGTTAAAGACTTCATTACATTAAATCCTTCAAATAGCTGTTCAGGAATCCAGGATCTACAGCTAAGAACATAAGAATGGCCATGCTGGGTCAGACCAAAGGTCCATCTATCCCAGTATCATGTCTACCAACAGTGGCCAATGTCCCAGAGGGAATGAACAGAACAGGTAATCACCAAGTGATCCATCCCCTGTCGTCCATTGTCAGCTTCTGGAAACTGTTGTCTTTCTTCCTAAGAGATTGTGTGTGTCCTCTAAAGCATTCATAACACTTTATATTGAGCAGGCATCAATTCATTAAGTATTCTCTGATATTAAAATGACTTTCCCGGCCCTAAGAATGTACTAAATAAAAAGATCTTTTTGATACTCCTGTTCTTCAAACTATCTTTGCTGAAAGACAGGGCTGACCATTGCTAGTACCGGGACTAGGATAGTAAATGAAAATGCAAAAATAGGTTGCTTCTGTTTAATTTGCTGAAAAACAAAAAGAAGTTCTAATATACCTGAAGTCCTAATTATACCAGGTAGTTATTATATCTATAATTACAGAAATTATAATTTCTGTTTAACTCTTATTTTCCCATGCTCTATTTTTCCTGAACAAGAGTGCCTATAGAACTCAAAAGTTTGTCTCTTTCACCAACAGAAGCTGGTCCAATAAAAGATATTAAGTCACCCACCTTGTCTCTATAATTTTCCAAAGCATTTACTTCCTGACCCGAAATATTCCTGTCTTGGTCCCTGCACAACAGTGATCTTTTGCAGTGGGGAAAGGCGGAGCAGCAACAGCATGAGTATGAGCAAAATTCCTTTGGCCCAAAATAGGTAGATTTAATTTAAATTAAAAATGATAACCATACTTCCTCTCTGCATCCGACCCCCAACAAAAACTGCAGAAGCTTGGACCTTGGCATGGACATAGTCATAGAATCAAACCATAGAATGTCAAGGTTGGAAGGGAACTCAGGAGATAATCTAGTCCAACCCCCTGCTCAAAGCAGGACCAATCCACAACTAAATCACCCCTGCCAGGGCTTTGTCAAGCCTGACTTTAAAAACCTTTAAGGAAGGAAAT